GTATAGATCACCATAATGTAATTCTGTATAAAGTGAGGCACAAGTACCACAGTAACTTGTTATTGTACCTAAACTAATGCTCAAAATAGCTGTCTGCAATTAAGGGAGGTTTTAAGTGAAGAAAGTGCAAATATTTGAAATCTGGGGTCATTATTCATGCCACCCTTGAATTTTGGTGCACTGGATAAAATTATTAGTTAGGGAAACAATATTATTATTGTTAGTTGGTGGCTGACAATCAGACTGCACCCCCAGATTTTATTTTCTAAGTTACTGGGTTATGACAAGTTCCTGTTTACTCTTCATGTGTCAAGTGTTAGTGCAATTCTTTGATTTGATTTAATTCACAAAAACTAGAAATTTTGTGAGTAGTTCAACAAACCAGACTTAATTTGGTAACCTGTATTCACATGTTCATTATCAAACTATTTTAACTGTGCCACTGATACATACCTGCCAACTGTAATGCCAAACTTGCTGGGTTCCTGACCGACACAATTCGATACATCGCCGAGGGAATAATCAGCGTGATATCTTCTACATTTCGACTTATTCTGCGCCTTATTCGTAGCATTGTATCTTCAATTCCTGCTGGATTTTACTGCAGGGGTGCCAGGAGTTTTGGGATGCCCTAAACATGTGCAAAGATTTCTGAGGATTTTTACAAAGATTTCTGAAGATATTTTGAACATTTAACCACTCCCCGAGTCCCAGGGTGTCTTCCACCAAAATTAATGCAGTAACCAGTACTTTTTCTTTGAAAATCTGAGAATTTGGGGAAGTGTACCTGTGATCATTTATAAGCTTACATTAACTTTTTTACTTTCACTGGTTCAAGTTAACATATTTTTGAAAGAATTGTGAGTTAAGGGTGTGATATCTCAAAATGGGCATGTAGGTGTGAGATCAAATTTTTTTTTACCTCCAGACACAAAGCTCTGCATGCCTAAGATGTGAGCATTGGTAAGATATACAGATGACTTTTAGTATCTTGACACTGTGGAAGGTTCTCTCCCCAGTAATTGTGGCTTTTATAGTGTGATTATCTGGTTGAGGGTGGTTTTGAAAAGTACAGTACTGTCATTGATGACAAATAAAGTTTGTGTTGTTAAAAGGACACAATACAAGTTAGAACCACATGATAATAACTCAGGGTGTTTAATGATGCACTCATGATTTTTCCCATGTCAGAGTTTGTCAACTCTGTCCTTTACATCATTTTAAAATTAAGTTTTGTTGTACTTTTATGTAATAGAATACACTTGATGTTGCAAAAAACAAAAATAAAACTATATATTAATAAATTATTAGCTTCATATTTCTGAACTGAGGAAGTTTGGA